TTGGCTGATACTCTCCTAAGAGGCATGATAGACGAAGGCAAAAAGGCAAGAAAGTTTGAGTGGGGGTCTCCGCCCCAAAATCAGACAGCAATTGTATGTGTTCGAACTCAGCACCTACTCAGCAATTTTGTCAAGGCACAGCTGATAGAAAAGAACCTTCGCATTTTTCCTCCAGCAGTGTGCAACTCCAAGTCCCCGGTTCTACCTCACAGACCAGCACTACTGCACCGAATCAGCAGAATAAGAGATCAAAACCCGCAACTCAAGCTCCTTCCCAGGCTCCGATGACAGGATGCAGCAAGATTTGTCAGTAGTGTGGCAAAGATCATGGAAGCCGACCCTGATATCGCCTCAACAACACCTATCGCATATGCGAGAGTGCCCAATACTATGCGAGAGAATATCTATAGAATCAGAATTAGGTCAGACCCGCAGTCTATGGTAGAGTCTATAAACTTACTAAATAGGATGCTGAAGTCAACCCGGACGTAATACAGGGTACGTACACTATCTGCAACCACCTTACACATTAATTGATACTGATGTTTCACATTATTTTATTTCACATACTTTTACTTGAAATTTAAATGTGCTACCTAAAAATCTCGATCCTGTACTGTTTGTGTCTACACCTCATAATGGGACACTACTAAGGGATGTTATTCTCCAATATATCCCTCATGTACACTTCTTAATACTCCCTCTCAAGCTGGTGAATAGATATTATTCATTCTCAACTTAGCAATAACTGCCTAAAATATAAAGTTACTCAATCATTTAGTCAATATATCAGCAAGTTGCAGAGTCATGGTCATGCATGGATTTCATATCAACCCACTATCTAGCTTTTTTTTTATGAAGTGTTTGTCTACTTCAATATGTTTAGTTTTATCCTGTTGTCCTAAATTATGAGCGATACTATTTGTTAACTTATTATCGCAGTAGAATCTCATAGGTCCATCCCACTAAATCTTCAAGTCTTCTAAAACCATTTTCATAATAGAAGCTTACATACCACTTAGTCATAATCCTAAACTCATACTCGGCATTAGATCGGACTGCCACATTCTGCTTATTACCTCTCTAAGTTACTAGATTCCCAACCAAGAAACATACAATATCCAGAAGTAGACTAGTTATCCTGTCAACGAGTAATCCTACATAGCCCACATCAATGTACATTTTAAGAAGGAGCTCATTGTTTTTTTTTTAACATAATTCCACTCCCCAGAGTACCCTTCAAGTAGTGAATTATTCTGTAGACAGCATGTAGGTGAACTTCTTTGAACTTGTGTATGAATTGACTCACCAAACTCACAATATATACAATATCTAACTTGGTATGTGACAAGTATATTAATTTTTCCACTAGTCTCTGATACATTTCTCTGTCCACATATGAATCTTCTTCTATCAACCTAGTTTATGATTGAGATCAATAAGTATGCTAGCAGGCTTTCATGCTAGTTTACTAATTTCCTTCAAAACATACATAACATATTTTTGTTGTGACATAAATATTTCGAAGTTTGAGTAGTCTACCTATATCCTGAAGAAATATTTTTTATTTCCCAAATACTTTAATCTCGAACTCTCTAGTCAAGGATTGTTTGAGGACCACTTTTTCTCCTTCATCATTTCCTATAACAATCAAATCATCTACATATATCAGGAGGGTTATGACTCCTCTTAACTTGAAGTGCTTAATGAGCAGGGTGTGATATCCTTGACTCTGTATGTATCCGTAAATAGCATTACAGTGCCTTTTTTCTATTTGCATACCTTATCTATTCCTACTTTCTTAGCAAACTTGGAGGAAATTTTCCATATAAATTCTTCTTCCAATTCTCTATGTAGGAAAGCATTTTTTATATCAAACTACTGCAATTGTCATTTGAAGTTAGCCACTAACAACAGTTGGATAAGTACAATATTCATCTTCACAATGGATGCAAATATCTCTTGATAGTCAATCTTATAAGTCTACGTATACCCTTTGACCACCAATCTTGCATTGCACTTCTCTATGGTTCTTTTTAAGTTTCTACTTGATAGTAAACACTCATTTGTTTCTTTCTCTTAATTCAGTCTACCCCTTCCCATGTTTGATTATTTCAAGTGCATGCATTTCAACACTCATAGCATTTCTCTATTCGTCACAATTTAAAGCCTCAAATAGTGTTTTTGGTATGGATATTGCATTTAAACTTATGAGAAAAATTTTATGCGATGGTGAACATTTTTCGAAAGAGACAAATTTTGAAATTAGGTCAAGTGATTGCCTAGTGCATTTTCTTGTCCTTTTTCCAAGTGCAACAGGGATATCAAAAGGAATTTGATTCTCAGTGTTTACCTTATTTCTAGGGCTCAGTTTGGATCCTTAACCTTACTTCGAAGCAAAGTCCAACTTTTTCATTCTAGAATACGTCTAGGAAAACATGAGCCTTATGGATTAAGGTTCAAGCTCATTTTGTTGGTTTGAGGTTTAGACTCATTTTGAGACTCTAACTATCAGGTAGAATGGTTATCTTAGAAGGTATGGTGTTTAAGGGTAAGGGAGAAATATCAAAGAACTAGTCTCTCTTTGTCTTCTAATGTAGTCTTACCCTAAAAATAAGAATGATTAGAAAAGGACTCAATCTCAACAAGGTGATATCAGTGAATACATGAAAGTTTTAGGTAGATGGACAACATGTGTATCCCTTCTGTGTTGGTGAGTGTACTACAAAACACACTTGATGGCCCTGGGGGCGAGTTTCCTTCTTTGAGACTAATTTATGTAAGCATAAGCAACACAACAAATGACACAAAGAATGAGGTTCTTGGTGATTCTTGCTTTAGAGAAGAATGAAGCTAGAACTTTCATTAGGACTATGGAAGTCTAATACTCTAATTGATAATCGGTTGATAAGATAAGTAGCAGCTAACATAGCTTCCCCATAGTAGTGTTTGGGTACATGGTTTGGAAACAAGAAGACATGTGTAGTGGTAAGCAAGTGGCTAATTTTTCTTTTGGCTACTATGTTTTGTTGTAGAAAATAGACATAGGAGGACTCTCGATGAATTTCTTCCTTTTGAAAGAATGAAGATAATATCTAGTTAAAGTAGTCACGGGACTTATCAATTCAAAAACATATGATTTTTACTCCAAATTGAGTTTTGATCATGTTGTGAAATTGAGGAATAATGTGAGCAATCTCATATTTAGATTTTAGCAAGAAAAAGCAAGATTATAGTGCAATCTTTTATAAAAGAAACAAATTATAGGGCTTAAAAAATATTAAAAATATTTGAGAATTCTCAAATATCACTGTGAACTAAATTTAAAAAAAAAAAAAGAACTACTTTTACTCTGGGGAAGGGGGAAGAGAGAATAGGAAATGACACGTTTCTGTTTTACCAATTCACATACATCACACTATAAATTTCTATTATTGGAATCCAAAAACAAAGAGGGAAACATAACCATAGAGGTGGAGAATGAATGGTGACCTAACCTTCTGTTATAGAACCATAATGTATCAAGGGTGCTAGTGGAAAGGGCAGTCCAGGAAGTATCACGTGTTTCGAGCCTCAGCATGACTAATCGTCCTTCTTGAGTTTTGGTCTAAATTCAAAAAAAGAGGAAAAACAATCACTTTATAATTGAGGTCTTGAGACAACTTGATTATTGATATTAGCTTGGTGTACAATTTAGGGACATGTAATACATAAATAAGTGTAAAGTGAGGGCTAAGCTTTATGGTTCTAACTTTTGCTACTATAATTATTGAACCATCAGCAATAACAATTCTCCTATTGTTGGGGCATATCACGTAGGCACTAAAAAATTGAGCGGAGTTGGTCATGTGGTATATGGCTCTTGAATCTACAATTCATTCATGATAGTATGAAAGATTTATTTAAGACATTTAAACTATGAGAGGTAGAAAACATAGCTAAATGGATCAAGTAATCTATACCGAGCGATGTAACCTCCGACATGATTTAACATGTTAGGCAATTAAGGCCTGATAAAGAAGTTATATGAAGAATTTTACTAACATGACAGGAGGTTGTGCGACTGACTTTGGCATGCAGTGGAGTAGAACAGCTGGTCTGTCTGACTGGAGCATTTGGTAGAGCAAACCACGTCTAAAGCAACTGAGCAGCATGGACAACACGCAGCTAAGTAGTAGCAGGAGGGGTAGCACGCATAGGAGGAGCAGCAGCTTGCGGCTGCAGGAAAGGAAACCGGGGTTGCGATTGGTTTGCTACAGCCCAGTGATGAAGGCTGCTCTTGGTTGTTGGTGACCGGCAGCTGGTGGTGGCAAGCGGCTAGACTATGGTGGCCGACTATGAAGGTCGACCCCACCTTTTTAGAGTTTTTTTTTTTAGTAATGAAGGCGAATAGGATTTCTAAAAGAATTTAAAATTCTTTTGATATAGAGCTTTGATATCATGTGGGATAACGAATTATTGTGTACTTCATTGAATATAAGGCTCTATATATACAAGTGAATAGCAACAATATAAGAAAACAATATTAATTACAAAGATCACAAATATTGGACTATATTATTAGCACTCTAATGTAATCCTAATGTACATTTTTTAACATTGTCATCAATTAGAATTAGTCAATGAAATGATCATCTAGACACAATAGGTTGATCACGTGTTCCTATTAAATATTTGCAGTTTCAAAAAGAATAACAAGGTTTAACTGACACTATAGCTCCACATCCAGCAAGAGACAACATGATCGATGATCTGTCAAGATATGATAATTAGATGGATCAAGTGATCATTGATTACCAAAGGCAACTCTAACTGCTTCCATTTGAAGAAATCACAAAGAAAGAACATTAACAGGGAGAGTTGACACATATTCATACATCATTAATGAAGAGCCACTACCTTTCTCACACATCAAATCCGTCAATCAACCAGTTGTAGTGGTTTACATGTTTCATTTCTTAAAGATCATTCACTAGTCAGATCCTTTACTTCAAAACTACTAGCACTACATATCCAGTGGCTCGTCCAAGATAAGGATTTCTTTCTTTTCTTTTTTTTTATCTGATAGAAAGGACTAAGCATATCTTTCAAGAGAAACTTAATGTTTTACAACTCAACTTAATGCCATTGATCACCAAGAATTAGGAAGAATTGTTATACTAGCTCTTTCTTTCTCCAATTGCAAATAGGCCAACTATAGTTGAGACATGCTCATACATCAAGAATACAAGCAGCTTTCTCTCTCCCACAAGCAAATTAAATCCATCATGCAACCAGTTTTTACATTCAAATGTTTTATTCGTTAGGAAAATCTTTTTTTTCAGAAGTATTACTAGATATATCCTGTGGCTCCTTAGAGAAAAGGATATTTTTCATTTCTTTCACCTTTCTGATAAATATATATATATTGAATCATATCTCCAAGAGCCTTAAAACTTCACTGTTTTACATTTGAATTTCTGCCATTGACCATCAAAGAATCAGTAGGAAGAGATGTCACTTTCAATATTTTTTCTCTGTTGTGAGACCAACCATGTCATATTTTGCGCATCTGTTGTTACATTAAGCCCAGGCCAGTTGTAGAAACAATTGAATGTAGAAGAACAAAACAACCTAAACACGAGCAAGATAAACTGGGGCTAAAGAAAAAAGAAGTAAGAATTTAGAGACTTTTTGCATACCACAAGCTAATCTTCCGCCTGCATTCCCAGTGGTTAGACTAAGTTCATGGCCACCTACAGATATACGACAATAAGATTTAACATATAAATTAAAGTTACCATAATGGATAAGAGCAGCAGCAGGAACCATTAAAATGACATCAAAAACTAGAATAAGAGAAGACTTCCAAATATAATACGGAGACCAAATCCCTTTTTCCTCTTCTATATTTCCTGATAAATGCTCTTAATTTACACCAATAGGAGCCATGATGTGTGAAAGCAACTATAAATTCATAACCAAAAGGAAAGATTCTCTCAAAAAAATATCTTCTGCTGACACATCACTCCACCTAACTTTTTTACAGACAAACTATACATCTTTATTATTCTAGTTAAAATAACATCTTTTAAAAAATTGTAAAACATGTAAGCCCAACTTCCAGCAAACATATGTGAAATATCTAGCCTTAAAAATAGAGAAGGATAAAAATTACCCTTTCCAAGGTCATCCTCAAGCTCATGAACTACAAATGCTCTTCCAACTACTGAATTAGGTCCACTTAATGGTATCTGCAATTTTTTTAGTCAAAATTAACTAACTATGAGAAGTACCATTTCCCAACATAGTTGAATAGGAAAATGGAAAAAAGAACAAAAAAATAAGAAAAAATAAAATGCATATGAGAAACACCATTTCTTAACATAGTTGAATAAGAAAATAAATTTATTCAAAAAATAAAGAAAATAAAATGCATATGCAAGATTTTTTGTGCCCGCACAGAAGAATTGAAATGAAACATATTGACAACAAAAAGAGGTTTAGACCATACCTGACTGTCCATGATTGTTGCCTCTGCCACCCCTGCCGGTAAGTAAAAACTTTAGATAATGGTCCTAATCATTTTACTAAAGACCAAAAGTTGAACTGAAGTTTGAGAAGACCTTACCATCAGCATTAGCAATTATGTTTCCCAGGTCACCCGCATGACGGATTTCATCACCAGGAGCACCATGAGTCATATTGTTCGGATTGAAATGTGCTCCTAATGCACATAAAATAAAAATTAGAGAACAAAATATTACAGAACCACCATCAGCATCAGAAACATCTGTCACTAATTGAAAAACTGATAACCCAAATGCCAGATTTTTGTGAATTGCGAATTAATTGACTCGCACCTGTAGACATGCACCCATTTGTTGTATCACCATACTCATGCTACATAATAAAAAGAAAATAAAATTAGAAACATAGACGTCAGAAGGAAAAAAAAAAAAGTTTACCATCTTTGAATCAACATCAATATAAAGTATGAATAGACAAATGGCAAAACCAGAATACTCACTAAGTGGAATCCATGCAGTCCTGGAGTAAGCCCAGTAACACGAACGTTCACAGTTGTAGGACCTGTTTATAGCAGAATAAGTATGAGGATTCAGTACCAAGAATTATAAGTCTGCTCAATTTGCAGTGAATTTGGCAACAGTGAACCCTTTGAAATAACAGATTTCTCCACTTAACAACTTAACAAAAGAAGACCATTAAAATAGAAACAACTGCACCTAGTAATTTAAGGGATTTAGAAGAAAAAAAAATTTTTATTCTTCTTCTTTAGAAGAATAAATTATTTTCACGTAATTCTAAAATAGAGTTCATTTTGAAATGTATACTAAGTTTTAAGGATAAAAATTCTATTCTAAATTAATTATAAATGAAATTGAAATAACAGAATCTAAAATATATAGCTATAATTGATGCTAGCAAAGGGGGGGCAACTTACACTAAGTTACATGAGATTCCATGACCAAGATGATTACAAACAAACAGCCAAAAGAGTTTTCCCAATCATAAACTATCGGGACATGAGGGAGCTGTCCACTCTTATTGAGAGAGTCATAACCGGATAATTATCTCTTCGAAGACATATTAATCATATGAATAATAAGAGTTCCAAAGATTTTGGACACTTGATAATTCATTCTTCCACAACCAAACACAACTCTCCTCATGAATAGTTTTCAACTTCGAGTAAATCTCCTAAGGGTTCAACAATCCTTATTCTATCAAATATTGTAAGGCATCAAGAGATCTATATCATCAAAACCGAGAGTTTTCATCAATTTAAAGTCTTTATTGAGATAAGATAAGAAGAATCCAATTATTACAAGACTTGCCCGGGATTCTACTCTTCTTCACTCCGTTGACAGATTTCAACTCCAACTAGAGCAAGGATAAGACTCCTTATCCCTCAAGGTCAAGGATTGGATCCTATTTTATCTTCAAAGCTAAAAATCATTAAATTAAAAGGGTTAAAACCAAGCATAATACTTCAAGAAGGAATCGGCACAATTCTTGAAGATTTCAACAACTATTCAAGAGAGAAGAGTCATAATTTATGTTAATTTACAAGTCTTAAGTTTATTGTTTTCTTGAGAGTCCTAGATAAGTTTTAGAGATCTTTAAGAGTTTAATTTCTCTTGTAATCCTTATGACCAACATCTATAAATAGGCTCTCATTATAGTCATTGTAATATCGAAGTTTGTGATCAATAAAATTAAAGTTTTACCTTTAATTAACCGTTGGTTAAGTTGCTCTTTGGGGAAGTTTCTCCAACCTTCTTATTGAGTAGAAAATTGGTATTTATTTATCAAGATAAATTGTGGTGTTTTCATCAATCTCTTTTTTTGAGTCGATTTTAACTTATCAAGATATTTCTTGTGGCGTTTTAATCAATTCACTTATCCCAATTACCTTAGTTCTCAATCAGAGATTGATGTGGCTTAAATAGACATAGTTTATTTAGGGATTAAGATTTTGTACTAAATTGTATGTCGGGGTTTTGAATTGCACTTGTTGATCTAGGGTTCCACATCAATAATTTTAGTTAAGACTTCTTTTGGAGTTAATTTTCATCTTGTCATTGTTATTATGAAGAAAGTGCACAATTCCAAAAATAAATTTTATGAAAACAATTCATTTGTCAGAACATATGAACGTTAAAATCACCAAAACCAAAACATATACTGTTGAAAAGAATGTCAAAATAGAAGTTGGTTCTGCATTTCCCTAATCCATCTATCCTGCGATTTCTCACTATACAGACACGAAAACTTCCCTTGTAAGTTCATAAAAATTGAAACCAGAAAATAGAAAATGAATCTAAAACGACAAACAATTAAAAAAAAAAAAACAGATCACAAATAAATTAGCAAAAATGAAAATCCAAGAAGAAAAAATGCTCCATAGACAGGACAATAAATGAAGGAACACAAGCAAACCCGATGTTTCACCAGAAAACAAGAGTTAAGAATAAGAGAATGCAAACAGACCGTCGTCTTCTTGGGTTAACGTGACAACGCCTTCGACACTGGAGTTACCCTTGAGGACAGCAACAGCTTTCTTGGTGGCAGCCACAACAGAGAAGGGCTTCGGAGCTACAGCAGAGAGAGATATAGACTGTCGATGGAGCTTGAGGGGGACCACAAGGAATGAGGTTCGGAGAGGATGCGACGGTGACGACGCAGGGCTTGCGAATGGGGCGAACGAAATGTGAGATGATGTTGCTGCGAGGATGGTGTGCGTCGCCATGACTGCTATTACGGCTTGCATTTGCCCACCTTTCACCTTTTTGTGGTGAAAGCAGAACCGCAGAGGAGAGAGGGATTACGAGATAATGTTTTTCTAGGCAGAGTGGAGTGAACCTGGTAGGGGAATCAATGTAGCTGGAGAGTTTGGCTGTACTCGGGGAAGATTGGGCTTTACTTGCTGCCACCATAATAATATAATTACAGTGCACTTCGTAAATAAATGAATAATTCATGTTCATTCCCAAAGAAAAATACATAATTACTTAATCCACTCTTTTATTTTTTTCAACTAAAAACTTAAATTTTCAAAAACCATTTAAATTCATCCTCTTTGTTATTGGCACTAAATATACCAACAAGTGGGAATTGGATCAAACCAAAAAAATTTTGGTCCAATCTTGAATTAAGAGTGTATTTACTAAAGAAATTGATTTACTGGGATCTAGTTTCAATTTAGACTAATTAACACACAAGACATATATAGAAAATAAAAAAGAAAGTATTATTTTTTCATTCTTAATATTGAAAAAGAAAAAAAAGAAGCCCATTGCATTTTGTTAATCATGTGGCAATCATATCAAAGTCAAAACTCTTCCTCTACTCTCCATTAACTGTTGTGCCTCCTCAACAATTGAAAGTTTCCTCTTTCTTGCTCCTATCGATCTCTCTTAAGTTCATCCTATATGCAGCTGCATAAGCCCATTATTAGTAGGATATGAAAGCAAATAGAGAAAAATAAGCCAAAAGTGGAATTCTGATATCATAAGGCTAGAACAAGTGGGAGACTAAACACGAGAAGATCAAAGGGGTCTGTAGTAAGCCAAAACTGCGGAAATTAGAGGAATCATTTGCCTCAATAAGAAGCTCAAAATAAAAAAAAAATCAAAAGAGAGAGCAATGACAAAGAGAAGTGAGTTTGGAGAGAGCATCGATGAGAGAGAGATTGTAAAAGTAAGAAAAGTAATGAAAAGTTTTTTAATATTATCTCTGTACATCATTTATTATGCACAGATGTGCATTTATATACAGAGAGAGAGAGAGAGAAATACACTGATCAAGGAAGAAAAAAACTCTAACAGATACACAACAACCCAAAATAAATAATATTCCAGAACCTACATTTTTATAGTTGTTCTCAACAGAATGCATATTTTAATTTCCATCGTCCACTTGTCCTTAATCCCAGCGTGCTCTATAGATGGCCCTTCATTTTTTACTTTTGATCTTGACCGTTTATTCACTTCAAAACCCTAACAGGAATATTTTCAATATTTTACAACCGCTCCTCAAGATGAAACACGCTTGTAATTCTATTTCTCTGAGCATCCATTCTCTTAAATCAATCCATGTTTGAATCTGTTTTAAATGTATTTTATCTTAAAAAGAAGATGATGGTGGGCTGTTATGCCTAGTGGTTTTATGAGTAAGTCTGCGAGTTGCTCTTTCGAGGTAACATGTTCTGTTTTGATAAAACCAATTAAGATTTTGTTGCGAACAATATGACAATCTATGTCGAGGTATTTTGTCCTTTCATGAAATACAAGATTTGCCGTGATGTGCTCTGCGGCTTTGTTATCACAGTATAATATGATAGGCAAAGGAGCCGTGACCATGAAGTCCTTAAGTAGATAAGTAATCCATTGTAGCTCACACATAGTTGAAGACATGTTTCTATATTCAGCTTCTGCGGATGATTTACTGACTGTTGTTTCTTTTTTTATTTTTCAGGATATCATCGATGGCCCAAGGAAAACATAGAAGCCCATGGTGGATTTACAAGTCATCAGGCATGATGCCCAGTCTGAGTCGCAAAAAGCCCGAATCTTGTAGGTGTTCTCCTTCGAAAAATACAAGCCTTGCTCTGGGTATTGTTTTAAGTATCTGACAAGATGGAGTGCAGCGTCTAAATGTGACTTCCTGGGTTGTTGCATGAATTGGCTCAAGTATTGAGTAGAGTAAAAGATGTCTGGTATGATGAAGTTGAGATAAAGCAGCCTTTCGATCAAACGTCTGTATCTTTCTGGGTTCAGTAAGATGTCACCCTCTTTCGTGTTTAATTTCAACCCCGTTGGTAAAGGGAAGTGACTTCCTTTTGCTTTTTACATGCATGTGTCTTGTAATATGTCTTTTATATATTTTCGTTGACTGATGTAAATTTCTCCTTTTGACCTAGCTATTTCAACGCCAAGGAAGTATCGTGTCTGTCCTAGATCTTTCACCGTAAATGCCTCATTCAGCGCTCTTTTGACTTTGTTGATTTCTTTCTCATCTTGTCCTGTGATAAGCAAGTCATCAACATAAACAACTATTGCAAGATAATTTTCTTTTCTCCCTTTTATAAATAAACAATGGTCTTTTTCAGATTTAGTAAACCCAATGGAATGAAGTTTTGAACTGAGCTATTAATTTCATTGACGTCCTGCTTGCTTTAGCCCGTATAGACTTCTGGCTAAGCGACAGACTTGTCCTTTGCTTACTTTAGTGTAGCTCTCTGGAGGTTTTAGGTATAGTTTTTCCTCTATGTAGCCATGTAGATATGCATTATTTATATCCAGTTGATGGACAGACCAGCTATTTGTAGTTGCTATGGTAAGAAGTAATCGGACAGTTACCATGTTGGCTACTGGTGAGAAATTATCGTAGTAGTCGATTCTAAATTCTTGGTTGTAGCCCTTGGCGACGAGCCTCGTCTTGCATTTGTCAACTATTCCATCTGGGTTGTATTTGATTTTGTACACCCATTTTAAATCAGTTATTTTTTTCCCTTCAGGCAGTAAGGTTAATTCCCACGTTTTATTTTTTTCTAGTGCATCTAGTTCGGCTTGCATAGCTTCAATCCACCTACTGTCCTTCTTAGCAACCTCATATGAATTTGATTCTTATGTAATCGAGATATGTGCAATAAAATTGACATAGTCATGATTGTATACAGGTCGGTTCGACATAAAGAAAATGGAGTTTGAAGATGGTGTTTTTGTCATGTGTGCCACAAAGTCCTCCATCCAGGAAGGCCTAACCCTCACCCTGGTACTCCTTCGAATTTCTGGTTCTTGAATTCTAGGTTCAGGTAAGGTGACTTCCCTTCTGTTATGCGGTTAGTCTTCATTGTCGTCTGGTATGATTAAATTGGATATCAGTAATGGTGTATCTTGATTATTAGTTTGTGGTGATTGTGATTGATATGGGTAAGTATATTCGTGAAATATAACATCTCTTGACATAAATAATTTTTTATTTGAAATGTCATAAAATTTGTATGTTTTAACACCGACTTCATACCCAAAAAAAAAAATAGTTTAAAGCTTGTGCATTGAACTTTGTCTTTTGAGGGTGTATGTTTGTAACAAAACACAAACAATCGAATGTTTTTAAAATAAAATAATTATTTTTTGTGTAAAATTTCACAGGGAGTTTTTCATTTTAAAATTGAGTTTGGTAAAATATTTATTATGTATGTAGTCATGAGAATGAATTCTCCCCAAAAAACTTTTGGCAAATTTGACTTGAACATTAGTGCTCTAGCAACTTGTAAGAAATGCTTATGCTTCATTTTTACCACGCCGTTTTGTTGTGGCGTGCAAGCACAAGTTCTATGATGCACAATGCCTCTTTTTTGAAAATTGTTTTTGCATGATTTATTCATAAATTCAGTACCGTTATCTGTTCTAATAATTTTAATAATTTTTTTGAATTGATTTGACATTGTAAAACTGTTCAAAAATATTTGAAACATTTGATTTTTCTTTTAACAAAAAAGTTCAAGTTGTTTTAGAGAAATCATCCACCATAATTAGGACATAAGAAGCTCCTGAAATAGATTAAACTGAATAAGGACCCCAAAGATCAACATGTATTAATTCAAAAACATCATTGATAGTAATACTGCTCTTGGAAAAAGGTAAACGTTGTTGTTTTGCTAAGGAGCATATTTCACAAACATATGAATCTATTTCGTTTGAAAAATTCAGGGTGGGAATATGAAGTAGCTTGTTCATTGATGTGTGGTCGAGTCTGTTGTGCCAAAGTTGTAGGGTGTGACTGGTACATGCCTTTTCTGGTTCTATGTCTTTACTCAGGATGTACAAGCCTTCTTTTATTATATCTTTCTTTAATTTTCTGTTAGTCGTCAAATCCTGCATAAAATAATAGTTTGGATAGAAAGAAATATAGGTATTTGAAGCTTGAGTCACTTTTCTGACAGAGATCAAGTTAAATGCAAATTTTGGTATGTAAAGAACAACATGTAAAGTCAGGTCATTGCATAGTTTTATGGTGCCTTTATGTGTTGAGTATCTCAGAGTTCCATCGTGTAAAAAGACAGGTATTATGGGTTCTAGTTTAGTGGTTTTAGTGAACAAGCTAAAATCATGACATATGTGTGATGTTGCACCTGTATCGATTATCCATGTACTTATATCATACGATGTGTGTAAAGAATAGCAATTAGACTGTTTACCTGTAGGGCCGGAGTAGCCCACGCATCCTGCTGATTCTATTGTGTTTGCTCCATGATTTTTCATGTATTTGCTGATTTCCTGCTGTATAATGTTAGTCATTTCTGCATTGCAACTTGTTGTGATCATTTTTTTCCCTTTAATGTCTGTGGAATTTCTATTTGAAACAATATTTGCCTTTTCTTTTCCTTTTTTTCCTTTAAGTTCTGTGAACCATTCGGGATAGTCGTGGAGTTTAAAACATGTGTCCTTAGTGTGTCTTGTAATTCTACAGTTAGTGCACATTCTGTTGTCTTTTTCCCTTCTTCGGTTCTGTGGCCTCAGGGTTTCCTTCTGGTCGGCATAAAAAATAGCTGACATCCCTTCAAATGCGTTGTTGATTTGTATTTCTCATTTCCTCTCAACACTGAACACCATTGAGTAAGCTTTATTAACAGTGGATAATGGTTCCATAATCAAGAGTTGATTCCTCACATGATCATATGTATCATTAAGACCTATCAGGAATTGGATTAAGTTATCTATGCTATTAATTTCACTATGCAGGTTAGCAGCGTTGCAGGTACACGCAGGTAATGGTCTTATATAGCTTAGTTCATCCCAAAGTTTCTTTAGTTTTGTAAAATAAGTAACAACTGAGAGGCTTTATTGAGTAATTGAGCTAATTTCTCATTTCAATTGATAGAGCAAAGGACC